TTAAATTGTTTTTTTTTTTTTTTTTTTTTTTTTTTTTTTTTTTTTTTTTTTTTTTAATAAATGCTAGCACCATTTTTAAGCCTGTGTCCTGAAGAAGTATATGAACTACGGAACTTCAACATTTGAAGTCTAAGTTTCGAAGACACTGCATCTATAAGAGCTGGGCAGCTGGTACCTTCAACTTGTTTTTAAATTCCGGTCTACTAATTAGGTCTCCTGCATGCTCTCTCTCTTTTTAAGACTGACTTATTTTTATATATATCAGGGCTGGGGTTGCTTTCTAAAGCAGATATAGTTAAAATAGTTAAAATAGTTTTGGCTCTTGGAGTCTTAAATCTGAAAAAGGTAGTAGAAACTTCACATACTATAATTGAAAAATACATTTGAATATTTGGCTTTTAGGGTAATTGTAAAGTTATTCCAGAAATTTAGCAATCAGTAATGTTTCTGGTATTTGCACTGGTTACAGTGAGTTATGCTACACTTAATATTTTAACACACAAAAGACTAATCTCTAAAACGTATTTCTATAAATAATACTCCAGTATATGCAAAAACTTTAAGGGACATGGAGTTAATCATTACAGGACAGAAAGTTAATATTTGGATGTGTATATGTGTACTAATGGCTGCACAAAAACTTTTCTGTGGCCATTGGATAGACACACGATTCCTAAAATATTGGTACATGGGAATAATATAGGATGGGTCTAATCAAACCCTCTTAAAACAGTTACAGTTTTCCAGTATAACTTTGAAATTAAGCAGAATTAAGCATTTCATTTTTTTACAAATACTAATATATTCTTTTATTAGCAGTAGAAGATAGTAATATTCATATTTGAGCGACCTATTGAGTTGTGTGATGTACTTTGCAGTGTAACTTGTGGACTGAAGCAGAACAAAGAATTGGTGGCAGTTGCTGTGAGTCTGCTCCTGAGGTTTTCAATTATGTAATTCCAAAACTTAAAGTGCAAGGAAGCCAAAACAGTAGGATACTGCTGAAAAGTGGCAGATGTGTAGTTTCTTGCCAACTTATTTTCCTGTATTAAAACTTTATATTCACTGAAGTAGGCATCAGTAGGATTTGGGGAAACACAACAAGGAACATATACTTCTAGGCATACTCACTGGCGCAATTCATAGTAATCCAAGAAGTGCTATAATCTTCTGCATCTTTTACAAACTAGTGCTGTGGAGAGTGGTTGATCCATGGCTACCAACTACCCCAGACAACAAAATAGTAATGCAACCTTTGAAGCTCGCCTAAGGTGTGCATGGGATGTATGTAGATTTAAGAGAAAGTGGAAATGAAGACATTTGTATTGCACGCAGGGGACTTGGTAGTATCAAACTTGTTCTTTGATAGGGCCTTTTGTTTTTCAGTAGCTCCCCCTGCAGCAAATATTACAGGTATTTTAACCAGCCTGTACTTTGTTTCTCTCTGGAATGGCACAATATGTCAGCCTTCATTTAATCGCTTAAGCATAGTGTTTTATAAAGAGAATTACTTTAACTTCTGTGGCAAGATTTGGAAATCCTCTTGCCAGAAGCTTTTGATTCCAGACTTAACCAGCAGCGTCAAGAGCCAAGCTAGAAGCTTTTTCCTTCCTTTGTTATCTGTTGCTGGCCTCAGAGCTGACTTCTTCCTATTTCTAAACAGCTCTCTAAAAGAAGAGTGTTCATGTTCTCTTTTTTCTTTTAACTTGAATGTAGAGGTCTTATTCCCAGATCTTTCCTGGTTCCTCATCTAAGGAAACAGCAGATGAAAAGTCTTTCTAATGAGGTGTCTGAAAAAGCATATGCTAGGTCATACTCAAAATATTACCAGATTCCCCTGTATTTTGTGTTGCTGAGTGCTTTAGGATATTCACAATGGAAAACAGACAGGAAAATATGCCGGTCATGTGCAATCATTTAGTCAGTGTGGTGCAGACAGACAACTAAGATGTGTAATTATTTAGTCAAGAGAAGGAATATCACTATGTGGAGAATAAGCCTTTATTCTTTATATGCTAATAAGCAAAATCTATATTTACAGATCTTTGTTGTCCTAAAATTCCACATAATTGTGATATTTTTTTCAGTGTTAAGCCTCTCTGTAGATAGACAATTACCTTGCTCTGAGCCATATATCATAAATAATGATAGACAAAACAACTAATGATGGTTATTAATGAATAAGTACGAGGGTTTAATGATATCTTGGGGCCAAAATGTAAAGGGCATGATATTAATTTATACCAGCATCACTTTGCCCTCCTGAGACATAGGAAAAGGCTTTAAAGAAGTAGTAAAGGAGAACTAGGTAACAAAAAGGAAGAATAGTGTAGACAGGATTATAGTGTAATGTTTCTTCAACAAGCTTTAAACCACAGTAAAAACAAGCCCTTTTTTCACTTGTGAAACAGAATTGTCTTCAGCTTGCCAGACAGGAGCCTTTGAAAAGACATCAAGGAAGTCAATTAAAATTAATATGGTGGGGATGATTATATTTTTCAAGTCAGGTTAGGTATTTTATGTCGGATTTTCTAATTAAAAAGAAGCGAGGGCTACAATTTTAGCGTTGTAACAGTGGCGGTACTGATTAATAATAGCTAGGACCTGGTGGTTGTTTGATAGCCTTGCGATAGGAAAACCTACTGAAATAAAAATTAGAAGTCAAAGTATTTCTTTATTGTATGTTGAGTACCATGACCTGCTAATGTGGAAGATCATCTCTGTCAGTAGGGAGAAGAACTTCCCTGTGTATGAGTGAAATTCTCTCCTGTTACTAAAAACAGAAATACACAAAATGCATTTCTAACACTGCTTTAATGCTGCTGTAGGAAGATGTCGGCTGCAGAAACACTGACACAGATTTGAAAATGCTGTTTGCGTATTCCAGCCAGTTTGGTAGTAGCTGAATCCTATTTTAAGGTGGTAACTTTTGATTTGCTAGTCAAGGAAGATATTCTTGTTAGCAATACCGTAAATAGGCTCCTCTTAAGCTATTGTAGTGAAATGCATTGGAGCCTGTATAGAACCAGTTCTGTCTATATATATGCCTTTATCTTCTTTATTGTTTTACATACCTGAATCAGAAACCATATAAGAAAGGAGAAATTCTTGCTGTAAAGATAAAGAAGGGGATTTAGTCTTCATTATTTACGTTAAAGCTATGTTGGTCCATGAGACTGTCAGAACTTTTTGTGACAGTATGAAAAATAACTAAATGGACCAACCCATAGCAAATATAAGACTAAAAAATATAAATATAAATCTAAAAAATAGCAGAGCTTAAGTAAAGAGGTTGCTACTGAATGGTGAGCATTTGGAACATGAATGAATAGCATCATTTAAACAGAAAAATGATGCAAAAGAACAGGCCATCTTCAGCAGTGTTTGTTGGCGGCACGATAGCCATGGTCCACCTTCAGTTCTCTTTCTTCCTGTGAGACAGCAAGTATCTTGCTTGGAGCTTTTTTAACAAGTTTCAAATTCACTGGTTTTTGAACTTTCAGTGAAGAAATGCCCTTTAGCAATGTCCTTTCACTTCATGTTTTCTTCTGAAATGGACAGTGGGAAGAGGAGAAATGGCAGCAGAAAAAGTGTGGTCTTTCCAGTGAATCTAAGCGACCTACCTTACCAACCAAGACCAAATCCAGTTGTGAATGAGCGGGGAGGAAGTCAAGAGAGGAGCGTGTGGCACAATCGTGCTTTTGGCAGCCCTGTCCCACAGCACAAAGCATGCAAGCTCCCCAGGCGCTGCTGTCCAGCCCACAGCACTCTCCCAGCTCTTCAGGAAAGGTGGAGCCTG